AACTGTTTACTATTTTGCGGCCGTCATGCAGTCGTTATAATGCAAACTTTAAATTGCACCAATCAGTGCCCGCTATTCATGACAGTCCGCCATATTTTTGAGATCAGTGAGGATGACCACCCACCGAACCACTCACGGTAACCCACGGCCGCGCTCATTGATGAACTTTAGACTTGGCTAATGCTTTCGTTTCCCCGGGTGTAAATAGCCGGGGGAATTAGTACCCTTGCACGGAGCTTCACGCCATCGGCTCGGGGAAAATCCTTAATAGAGAGTATTTTACATACACCTTACAACATTAAAATACGATTAGTAGCTAAAGTACTTGGACATTTGATCTCCAGTCTACCAGCTGTAATGTTTGGTGCACTTTACTATAGATGCCTTGAAAAAGACAAAACCCTTGCCCTTAAAGTTGCCAAGGGTAGTTTTGGGGCCAAAAATTCTATATCCCAGCATGGAATACAAGAGTTAAATTGGTGGTTAGAAAACCTAGAAGCTAGTTACAATGTTTTCCAACATCCCTCAATTGATATTGTTTTATATTCGGATGCTTCAACTACAGGTTGGGGGGCAGCACTAGGAGAGCAATCTACAGGGGGCCCAACAGAAGCAGAACTTCACATTAATGCCCTAGAGCAGCAAGCTGCATTTTTTGCTCTGAGATCTTTCAAGCACTCCCTTAGTGGTAAACATGTTAAATTAATGATTGACAATACCTCAGCTGTATATATCATTAATAATATGGGCACAAGTCACAGTGACAATTGCCATTCAATATGTGTTGCTATTTGGGAGTTTTGCATCACCAACAAAATATGGCTAACAGCTGCCCATTTACCAGGGGCTTTAAATGTAGTAGCTGATAAGGAATCAAGACGATCATACAGTGATTCTGAATGGATGATTGATAGCAATATTATGCAAAAATCTCTATCAGATTTAGACTTTACACCTGAAATTGACCTTTTTGCCTCTAGATTGAACAATCAATTAAATGCATATTGTTCATATAGACCCGATCCGGATGCAATGTATATTAATGCATTCTCAATCTCCTGGGCAAATTTAAAGTTTTACTCCTTTCCACCTTTCAGTTGCATACTTCAGGTTGTCCAGAAAATCATCCAAGACAAAGCCGCAGGAGTGATAGTGGTCCCAAACTGGCCCACACAAGCTTGGTATTCTCTCCTTCAACCTCTTCTAGTCAAAAGTCCACAGACATGCAAACCATCAAAGACACTCTTACACCTTCCAGCATGCCAAACTCAGTCGCACCCTCTACACAAAAAACTGGAACTCCACATTTGTCTTGTGTCCGGGAAAGATTCTTAACATCTGCCATATCATGACGTTCAGCTGACATAATGATGGCATCATGGAGAGAGGGTACTAAGGCAGAATATGACCCATACATTAGGAAATGGTTAGACTTTTGTATGAAGGTTAAGTGTGACCTTGTTACTCCTCCAGTCCCAACTGCCATTGATTTTTTAGCAAGCTCTTTTGATGGAGGCCTTTCATATGCTTCTGTCAATACAGCTTGTAGTGCACTGTCATATGTCTTACTCATTGAAAATAGCAAGATACCTTTTGGTCAGTTACCGCCGGTCAAACACTTCGTGAAAGGCATCTTCGAACTGAAACCATCCTTGCCTAGATACCGTACAGTCTGGAACGTTAGTACAGTGTTTAATTATCCTCGTTGCCAACCAAATATTGCTGATTTGTCGTTGAAAGACTTATCTCTAAGACTGACCTTATTATTATTATTACTAAGTGGGCAACATTGCCAAACTGTTTATTATTTCACTATGGATAATATGGAGCTCTCAGAAGACAAATGTGTTTTCAAGGTCACTGACAAGGTCAAACCAGGAAAGGATATCATATTCCACCCATCATCTATGAGCATTATCCCCATGAAAGAAGGTTATGTCCAGTAGCCCATATTAAGGAGTGCGTAAAAAGAACTGCAAGTCTCCGTAGCCCAGACTGTAAACAATTGCTTGTTAGCTTTATTCGACCCCATGGCTCTGTTTCCAAGACAACTATTGCGCGTTGGTGTAAATTGTTATTAAGTGTAGCTGGGGTTGATACTACCAATTTCCACTGTCACAGCAGCTGGGCAGCTTCGACTTCTTATGCAGCTGATGGCAATGTAAACATTTCCTGTATTTTGGAAGCTGTGGGTTGGTCGAATGAACAGACTTTCCAAACATTTTATCATAAGCCTTGTGTAGAATCTAGTTTTAATCTAGGTTCAGCAGTTCTTGACACTTATGTTGCTCAATTGTAAGATTTTCATTTATGCAATATTTATGTTGTGTTATCCCCGAGCCGGCGGCGCGAAGCGCCGTGCGAGGGTACTAATTCCCCCCGGCTATTTACACCCGGGGAAACGAAAGCATTAGGGAAGTCTGAAGTTCATCAAATATCGCGGGCGTGGGTCACTGTGCGTGTTTCGGTGGGTGGTCATCCTCACTGATCTCAAAAATATGGCGGACTGTCATGAATAGCGAACACTGATTGGTCAAATTTAAAATTTGTTGTTGTACGACGAATGACGACTTTAACTGACAGATACTTCATGAAAATATTTTGCTTTTTGCACTGCAATATTTTGTACGTTTGCAAAAAACTTTGACAGCTTTCAAAGCAATTTGTTCTATAAAAAGTTTAATAAAACAATTACGGTATCAAATACCAATTGAAAAGATATGGCGCCAAATGAAGAGAGGCAAGGAATGACAAGAAAGCCGAACGTCTAGCGAAAAGGAGGGACGTTTGCTCGAGGAGACTGCTGAGGAAAGAGAAGCTCGCCTGGGAAAGCGTAGAGAAGCATGGAAAAGACTGCTGAGTGAAGCGAAAGGTAAGCAAAGGCTTGTCTTCACAACGCTATGTACCAATGATACTGTAGCTATACGAGTTGAAGTATGATATTCGACCCTCTATATTCGACTATTTCTTCACAATTTTCCAATAAAGAGTTTGTCATGACACGCTCAAGTCAGTATAACCAGACTGTATTTTATTTATATCAGTTATCACAGCCACAGGCAATTTTATGCTGTCAAATACCGTCGGTTCCAACTAAGGGTGAACAGTTGCAGATAAAACATTCTCTATTCTCATTAAAAGGCCTGTAAAAGTTTCCAGTAAGTCTCTAGCCCAACACGTTCAGACCACACAAAGTTTTGTTACTTATTATTGTCCACTGTACACATGGGAAACAACAATTAAGTGTTGTTGTTCTTGACAAACATTGAAGATTCTAATCACGCGAATGTTTTTATGAGCAACTTAGGCCGTATTCTGTGGCCAATTATCGTTCAGTTCCGCTGCCCCCATTCGGGACCTACTTTTAGTTTACATAAATCCATAGTTTTTGATACGCTGAGTACGAATTCACTTGTTGTCACTCGCACAGACCCGCAGTTTTTTTGTATTTTACGATCAAACATCAACATTTTTTATTAAAATTTCCGCCATTTTGTTCAGGAAACTTCATGTTATATACAATTATTGTACTAGTCCAAGTCTCTTAGCAGGGGGGTTGCACGCGGTATTACGCAGTTTGTTATCATTCCTCTGAGAAAAATATACAGAAATAAAACAAAAATATAGATATTTTTCCACAATATAAATGCAAAAGGTACTGCTACATGTTTGTAAATACTTAGAAATTAATCTATTATTCTTGATTGCATTAACTTTTGGGCTTTTTGGCTCTTCATGATGTGAAATTGCAAAGACTGTCACTATATCCATAAAGATTCTAACTTGTCACTGGTAAAGTTGTTTATTTTATTTATTACTGAAATTATGTACATAATTTTGGCCTTGCAATAATGTGAATAGGCAATTTTTGTCAACAATGAATAAGGAGCACAATATATTTGTTTAATAAATGTTAGACCTATTTGTACACCATTGCCCATTAATTTTATAGCCTAGTAGCAGTTTACCTCAATAAAAATAACTCATCTATTTAATAAATCTGCACATAATTAGTTCCATTTTCTTGTTTTATAATAATATTTTTGCTATTATGATATTATGATTGAGCTTTATAAATAAAAACTTTTGGAAGATAGCTTTCACTATGACAGACAGCCTACTTTTGGTCTGTTTATATGGGGTTAACCCAACCTAGATTAGCTATATTTCTTTAATTGCTTTATTGTTATTTAAGTATTTACATTAGCAAATGGTGGCTGCACAGGACATAGCCCAAATTATTACAGCTACCATATAACAACCTAGCTTGGTTATTTAATTTATGTGAGACTGTTGAGGGAAGCATGGGCTTGCTGGAACAAAGCAGCTAAGCAAAAAACTATATTCACACAAGCAAATCTCAAAGTCATGCCATCTAGAAACATTAATTGATCGAGCCATTTGAGGTTTGAATGTGTAAAAAAATATTAAATACAACATATTGTCATGATCCATTGTCACCTTAAGCTCTAATCCTATTTGAGCTGCCATTAATTACCAACTGAACTACTGGAGGTTCACAGATATTTTATATTTGACCAGGCAGACAATAGAAATTTAAAGTAATTTGGCATCACTACCTACCAATATGTCTTAGTTAAATAAACCTTCTTTCCTCTTGGGCTGGCCTGCCTGGCCAAGACTGTTTTCCAAGCCTTAGATCTTGGATATAACAGCTGAGCATTAAATAATTAATACATAATTCACATCAATCTATTGATATAAATAATATTTTCTTGGGGGGTGTTTATATGGAGGAGAGCCAGCCCAGATACCTGACCTAGCTTGCTTTGCCGAGATCTAACATTGCTATGTGATTTATACTAACATTTATCTTGTGGTGAAATGGGAACCGATCTGGCCTGCCTAAGTGAGATCTTGAAAAATAAAAATATGTTTACTTATATTATACTATTTGTAGTGGTAAGACCAGTAATTTGTTTTGGCAAGACAGCCCACCTCATAAGTCTCATGTATTAAACATGGGATAAAATCAGCTCAGCAAAGAGAGCTAGCTTGGCCATGGGTACCTACATGGGCTGGCTCACCTCCATATAAACACCCCATTAGAAGATTTCAAAGTTAAAATTTCTTTTGAAATCTCTCTGAGGGATAAAACCTTCAAAACTTTATTGTTGAAAAAATTTTCATGTAGACAGTATCCACGAAAATGCCTTTTCATATTGTAAGGCCAAAATTATGTACATAATTTCAGTAATAAGTAAAATAAACAACTTTACCAATGACAAAAGTGAGTCTTTGTGGATATAGTGACAGTCTTTGCAATTTTACATCATGATGAGCCAAAAAATCCAAAAGTTGATGCAATAAAGAATAATAGATTAATTCCAAGTATTTACAAACATGTAGCAGTACCTTTTGCATTTATATTGTGGAAAAATATCTATATTTTTATTTTATTTCTGTATATTTTTCTCAGAGGAATGATAACAAACTGCGTAATACCGCGTGCAACCCCCCTGCTAGGAGACTTGGACTAGTACAATAACTGTATATAACATGAAGTTTCCTGAACAAAATGGCGGAAATTTTAATAAAAAATGTTGATGTTTGATTGTAAAATACAAAAAAACTGCGGGTCTGTGCGAGTGACAACAAGTGAATTCGTACTCAGCGTATAAAAAACTATAGATTCATGTAAACTAAAAGTAGGTCCCGAATGGGGGCAACGAAATTTGTTTTCTAAGCGACTTTTGGGGTCACAGAATACGGCCTACATCTGTCATCTCTCCACACTCAATATAGTATGGTCCCTTTTTGTAGATGCCCACCCCTGAGCAGGGAAATTTTGAAAATTTTGAGTCTCTAGATCTTGGAAATAGCATTTTCAGAGTCGTCTTTTTTGCTATTTGTGATTATAGAAATCAGAACTCTAGGGCAGGGGGAATTAATGCATTAGAACCATGTTTTTGCAAAGTCCCGAGGGTGTACCCCCCAGGGCAGGCCATTGATATGTGCATTATATACAAGTAGTAATCGAGTTGAAATATTATATAATAGTAATAAATTATAGTATATTTCAATATATGAATGTATGGTACAGTACAAGTGTTTCATTAAAATTTTGAAAAATGCCTCACCTGTAGTGCTTTTCAGCTTTTGTTGTTTATTTATTAACATATGGAAACAGAATCACCATTGATAGTCCTCGAAATTTCAAAAGTTTGTTTCCCATCATGACAATTATTTCAATTTTTCGTTAATTTAGTAATTTATTACTCATTTTCTACGGCTCCACACAAAATACTGTAGGTCTGCACCTACCGATACTCCAAAAGCATACATGCGACATGGGCAAAAATACCACCATTCGTTCAGCTCATTTATATTATCTGGTTGGATCATCATTTATACATTTCACAGCAGAAATTGTGGAGATAGTCGCTCGAATGAATTAAAGCTCCAGCTTGAACATGATAGTAGTTGGTAAAGTTCAGAAGAAACCTTTTACACCTATATGTAACTAATATTTTACTAATTTCAAATCTTCTCCAATGTACTCCTTTTTTAAAAATTATAAAAATCAGTGGCTCTCTGGTCAGGGGGGAGTGGGAAATGTCGCCCGCACGCATTTGAGCTGTGGTCAGTTAACATACCATGAGAATAGTGGACGCGGAGCTCGAAATCCGCCATGTTTTTGCGGACACTTTTCATTTGCGAGCACGATCTCCAGATATATATAGTAGAGCTCAGTGGGTTAGCGCCTCTTTCGAAAACGGAATTTTGGAATTTGGACAAACAAAGTTCGTCTTGTGTCACGAGAACTGCTGCAATGGTGAACAAACCAAGTTCTTTCGAAAGAAGAACGCTCGTACTATTAGGCAATGTGAAATGTATTGCGCTGCAACGATTCTGAGGCGAGATATTGGACTCGATGTCGGAGGGTATATCAGATAAGTGGCTAGCCTTGC